CTCCCTCTTACGGCAACCGCCCCACGCGATCCATCCTGGCGACGCACGAGCGCAGAAAGAAGAACAAGCATGTGCGCGTCTGCGAAGACCTGTCCATGACCTTCACCCCTCTGGTCGTCACCGTCGATGGGGTGTGGGGGGAGGGAGGCGGAGCACTTCTTCACCCGCTTGACTGAGCAGCTGTTGACGAGGCAGGGGTGGTCAGATAGGGGGCGAGGGCGGGTACATGGGTGGCTGCGTGCTCGTTTGTCTGTTGCATTGGTGCGGGCTGCTAGCCTGTGTTTGAGGGGCGGGAGGCAGTCATGGCGTGGTGTTGAAGCGATGGACGGAGCTGGGGTGTTTTCATCGGATGAGTGAGCGTGCTCTTTGTGCATAGGCATATGTGGATAGATTCATGGAGGCGATTTGAACAAGCGAGTGCATGGATGCCATCTGTCAATTATCTCTCCTTATATTTCCGTCGTGGCTCTCAGCGGCCAAGTAAGCCACACGCAGAGAGGGAGGGGCGGACTACGGGGATGAATGTTTCTGTGTTGGTTGCAAATTGGTTCTGTGTTGGTTCTGTGTGTGGTGTGTGTGTGTGTGTGTGTGTGTTGCAGATAGGCACGCTGCCTCCTGCTTCCCATGTGCATCTGCGTGTACCTGGCAATAAACCTTGCATGTAAGGGAGGGACAGACGGAAGAGGGTTTCATCGCGTCAAACCGGTCGTGTGCTTGGCGTGTAGGAATTCGCCCAATTTCCGTGGTCTAGCGCGGGCGGTTCCGGCCAGGCCTCCCAGCCATGCCGCCAGGGCGACATCCCCGCCGATTCGTCGCCCGGATCTCACTGAGCAACACACGGTAGAGCAAGCCGTCGCATCGAAGCCCTCAGGCAGTGGTGGCGGCGCCGTGCAAGGGGGTGGGGAGAGTAGCGGGGTGGACGACGGCGGCCGGTCGGTGAGGGGACTGGGGGAGTCACGAGAGGGGGAGGGCTGCGACTACCGTCCCTCTCTTCGCACCAGCTATCTCTCGCGTCAGGAGCCGACCCCGCCCCGCCAGATACACCCCGACCCCCCCTCAGGAGGAGTGCAGTACCTGGACCCAGTGCAGATGGGCTCGTACGATCCGGTCGGGGATGCCATGCGTTTGTGGGGCCCCCCGCCCGACGACGAGATGGTGTTCGACTTCGAGCTGGCCGAGAGATACTTCGAAAAGAGGGAAGCAATCCCCTTAGTAAGATGGCAGTCAGAGAAGGAAAGATGGCATCGAAATGCCAAAAAACAGATACTCTTTCATGTCTTGTGTGCCTGCAGCTCTATCACGCATATCAGGCTACTCTTGAGACCTTAGAGCAGTCATTCGTGATGCGGCCGACTGGTGCAGCGCCCTCGTCCCAGCCCACCAGCCCTCCCCTCTTGCAGCCAGCCGAGCTCTTTGACATGTCATTGCCCATCAGCAAGATGGCCCGCATGGCAATGTCGACTAACGATGCCACGCGAGCCGCTCTCCGCTCACACATCGTCACCCCCACTCGGCAGCAGGAGCTGCTGGGCCACACCTCGGCGACCGTCACCAGCACGCTGCTCAACGGCGTCCAGCACCACATCAACAAGGCCATCAGGCGTCTCGGCTTGAAGGACGTCTTCGCCTTCGACATTGCTGGTGACGTGGAGGGCGGCTTGAGGGTCGTCTGGCTGCTGGAGCAGGGCACCGGTGAGGAGTGGCGGGCGATGGGACGGTTCCTTCGGATGGCCTTCATCTATCGGCTGACCCCCGCCAAGTCGACGCGGCCCCTTCGGGTGTCGGCCGACTCGCTGTCCGCAGCAGCGACCTTGCACCAGCTGCCGATCACATTGGCGATCTACAAGATCATCGGCCAGCAGCTTTCAGACAATTGGACCAGCCTGGCGCTGCAGCAAGATGACGATGGGAACTATCGGATCGGCAATGAATCATTTGGCGATGAATCATTCCGTGTGGTGCCTCTGGGTGAGCTGGCGGGCGGCCATCCCTATGCCAACAGCTACAAGCGGACCGACCCCGTTATTCTCTCGAGCCGCGACTCCCTCTACCCCTCCTTCTCGGCATATCTGCTGCGCAGACTGCTCAACTCGTGGCCCTCCAAGTTGGAGTCGGGCGGGAGGGAGGTGCTGTCATTTCTGACCGACCGTGATGACCTTCGATGTCGCCGTCTGCAGAGGACTGAGGGCATTACAGAGGATCAGGGCATCGCTGTCGACTACCGCTACTACCACGGGGATGATCTGAATGCTGCTGATGCGGGTGAGTATCGTCAGGTGATTGTGAGCGGCTTCCGACCCGACGAGACTATAGCCGCCCACCTGACGGTGGAGGGGGGCTCCATCCAGCTGTGGACGACCGAGGCATCTGTTAGAGGTAAGCCATTATTACTCGCCCTGCGCTTCCCTGAGTCGACTGGTGCCGTCCGCCGTTTGCTGCGGCCATTCGGTCTTGAGCGTGATGTCATCGACAGGGGGACCGTCCGACGGTGATGGCATGAGGGGGGAGTGCTGTCGGATTGGTGGCGATTGGGAGGTGTTAGGGTCTCTCTGACTGAGAAGGGGTGGAATGGGACTGGGTGTGTTTGGACGGGTGATGTGACTGATTGTAATGTGTGCCATGCGTGGTTGGATGCCGTACTCGTTTCTGTCAGACTCGATGACTGAATGGCTTCTCTCGCATGAACGAGGAAGCAAACAGCACAGCTCATCGGCAAAGTGAAACTCGGTTGAGGTGTGCTTGCGCCGCTCGACACACACTGACGAACATGAAGCACGTGAGTTGATGCACTCACAGGAATTCACCACACACACACAGGAAGTCACCCCGATCCCTACTCGCTGGGCTCACAGGCGGGGCTGCGGCGATGTGTCTCTGTCTGTCTGTCTGTCTGTCTGGCACTGAGATGCCCACAAAAGGGAGAGGGATGACACTCGGATGAAGGAAAACCGCACAGGACTGCACCTCACCGACCTCCAACGATCACAGGTGAGCAGCGCGTGACGCACATCCAGACAAGGGATGGAAACACCCAAGCACAGTTTGACCATCCCCCTCTCTCTCGTGTGCATCTCAGCAGCCGCCCGGCAACCAAAGAGAGACCGACCCAGCCACACGCTGTTACTCTGAGATCGCCGCCAGGCAATTGAGATGCCCACGAAGACCAAGACACGATACCAGACAGAGCACAGCTGGCGACAGAAAAATCTCTCTCTCTTTCCCACCTCACACACATTGACAGCCAGGCCAAGCGACAGCGCCACTCGCGCCCAGCAGATCGAAGAAGATGGTAAGTGTTACACGCAATACATCACACCAGACAGACAGACAGCAGCAGTCGGCCGTCTTACTTCCTTTGTGTGCATGTGACGTGCGCGTGTGGTGTCTGTCTGTGAGATGCTCGACGGCCACCACACACAGAGAGTGAGAATGAACCTCACTGTGTGACGTCACCATCGACTGTCCGATAGTCAGCACACCAACACTCGATGCACATCGAAGGGAACCGAACAGACCACCCCATCTCTCTCTCTCCTTCCCACCTACACGCAGAAGGAAATGCGCCAGGCGCCCATCGGCACAGAGAGAGATAGAGAGGCACAGCCACCCATCCATCTGCGTCAGTGTGGGTGTGGGTGTGGGTGTGGGTGTACCAGCATAACATACAGACGGTCGGTCGGGAAAAAGGACCCACAGAGGGGCCAAATTGTGATGAGTGTCGGGTGTGCGCATTTTCATTGACTTGGACAGATCGTCAACAAAGTCAGTCATGTCGTTTGTGGAAGGTGTGTGTCTGTCATGTGCTCGAGGGCCACCGCACACGGAGAGTGACGACGAACACTCTATGTGTACAGTGGACCTAATCAACGCAACAGCCAGCACACCGACACACAATGCGCATCAAACATCTCTCTCGTAACACCTCTCTCTAGTAACATCTGTTCACCAATGCATCACGCCCACTCTCTCATGTCAGGGTGTTAGTGTCTCGACATAGGATCATCACAGTGGCGCGTGCCTGTCCATTTCCCTCTGTGGGCAGCTCTGTCACCGCCCGGCGACCCCAAAGCACCAACACCTGACGTGGGCTGATACTCTTGCGTCACCGAGCTAAGGACAAGCTGCACACAAAGGGAGAGGGACACACGCATGCAGGAAAACCAACCGAGTACCACAGACACGCCACACGCGATGGACAACCACACAGTCTCTTTCTCCCAGTGGGCCATGTCAGACAGAACACACTCTCCCAGGCGAATGGACAGATAGACAGATCAGTGTGATGTCGGCCTGTCCGTCTGTCTGTCTGTCTGTCTGAGCCGCCCGTGTGTGACGGATGCACCGACGAGAGGTCGACACACTCTCGCCAACAGACGTCACAAGACAACAGCTCACAGACAGACGGCAGCCCAAACACCGCCCCAACAGCGATTCTCTGTGCAGCCAATCAGCCAATCGTCCCCTTCTGTCTGTCTGTCTGTCTGTCTGTCTGTGAGCCGCCCGTGTGTGACGGATGCACCGACGAGAGATCAACACACTCTCGCGAACAATCGTCAATCGCCAGCAGCCCACAGACAGACGGCAGACCAATCACGCACCACACAGCGATTCTCTGTGCAGCCAATCAGCCAATCGTCCCCTTCTCTGTCTGTCTGTCTGTCTGTCTGTCATATTTCCCCCGCCCCCCACTCACCGGCCCACACACTCACGGCAGCAGACAGACGGCCCACACGCAAAACCCCACACAGTCCACACAGAGAGAAAGGGCCGACCAATACACGACAGCCGTCCCCTCACACACACAGCGACAGACAGACAGAGAGAGAGGGAGTCCGTCGACTCATCGGCCGATCATCCTGCCTCCCACACACAAATGGATCCACACACACACACACATACACACACACAGACGAGCAGCACTCAGCAGCAAAGAGATAGAGAGCTCGGTCGTCGTCTCGCTTGTCCCAAAATCAGCACATCGGTCACCCACAGCTGACACACACACAGACACCGCCGCAGACAAACAGACGTCATCGGCCTTTCTGTGTGTCCCTTTCCCTCTTGGTGTCTGCGCACCATCAGACGGGCACACACACCGTCAGAGGTATCGCCTTGTCTCGGTGTCGTCAGTCGGTCAGTCGACGAGGCAGAGAGGGGCAGAGGGAGAGAGACCCGTCAGCGGTCGGCGCATCGGCAGATCTGTCCTCCTTCAGCACGTATCGTCACCATCAGCGCGTCCAAGCCATCAGCCATCAGCGCTGATGACACACAGACACACAGATGACAAGCATCATGGCATGGCGGTGCTCGAGGCGTCCCTCACTCACTGACTCACTGACCTGACTGAGGCACCGCCACATCGGTGTCTGTCAGTGCCGCCAGCAGCCGCCCCTTCGAAGGGAAGGGAATGAGGACACAGCTGAATCTCAACCGAAAGAGCCGGAGGATTTGACGAGGGGTGAAATGGTTTGTTACCCTACAGCCCCATTCACGAGAGGCCAAGGCGTTTTGCGCCTTGTCGGACAGCTGTGCGTTGCGAGAGTGAGGCACTCGGCCGACAAGAGGGCGAGAAGAGTCACGCGAGTCAGTCGTCCTCTCGACTGCTGCGCTGGGTTGGCGGGCCGCAGAGCTGACAGACATCCGAGGTGAGGAAGGCTCAACACTCACTGACTCACTCACTGACGCGCTCATCCACTCACCTCGATGAATGCGTTGGCCTTTCTCTCTGTCTGTCTGTCTGTCTGTCTGTCTGCCTCTCTGCCTCTCTGTGTCTTGTCGGCCCATCGGTGCAGTGTGGCTGAGGAGCGATGGCGGCCTCCTCATCTGCCGCTGGTGCTGCTGCTGGTAGTGGTGCTGGTGATGGTGGTGGTGGTGGTGGTAGTGGTGGAGGCTCATTGACTTCTCTCTGATCTGTGAATCTGAGCATCGAACAAGGTGAGCACCAAGCTTTGATGGACACAATACTCTGTCGGCTCTGTCGCTCTGTGCAGCCTCTCGTCGAGCGCCTCATCTGACCGTCTTGGCCCATCCATCGCATCTCATGCAGCACAACGAGCAGCAGCAGCACCCCGTGTCATACCTGTGTGTCGGGCGGAGGAGCCGCTACCTCCTCAGCATCAAGGACGTCGTGCGGCTGAGGGCCACCTGCACGTGGCTCAGAGAGCTCTTCGGAGCGGCCCAGCTGAGAGATCGGCTCAGCCACTCGCTGGGCTCACAGGCGGGGCTGCGGCGGGCGGTGAATGGGCAGCAATTGCAGCTGCTGCGGTTCGACGACAACCAGTTCGGCACACATGATCTGCTGGGGGCTGTGTGTGTGGTGGAGGAGGGGGGCTGGGACGAGATGGGCGGGGTGATTGAGCTGGCAAGGCAGTGCGGCAACTGTGAGCTGCCTGTGACCCTCAGTGGGGCTGACATCAACACACACGCAAACAAAGCGGTGAGCCGGGAAACAGACGGGCGGGGAGGGGAGGAAGAGGGCTTCATTCTCTCTCTGTGTGTGTGTCTGTGTGTGGTCTTGTGTGTAGGCGTATCTGTCGGCTCCCCATGTGTTGGCGCAGCTCAAGATGGCCGGCCGCCACGTCCACTTCAATGACGGCAGCTGCCTGCAGTTGTTCCACCACGCCGATGGTGAGGTGCGGGCCATCAAGGACGAGCCCGACTTCCGGCTGGAGGTCGACACGCCTCTCCATGCCGGCCACCTGTATCAGCAGCACAGACCGCCACAGGACCCACCGGTGCGTGAGCGCATCGGCTTCTCGACCGACTACATCGGCTTCTTGACCGACTACGGCAGATGGGTGAGACTCGCCGGCCCGGGGATCACCCAGGCGTCAGTTTCGTCGTTCGCCAAGGCCAAAATCCTCAGCCACTTCATCAATACTCGCCAGACCACCAATGAGAAATTCACTATACTCAACAGGTGACACACCAACGAAATCAATGGGGTCGGGAGGGGAACACCACAAATCACTCGATGCTGTCTGTCTGTTTAGGGGTGTCGGTGGTGGTCGTCTGGACGACCTTCTCACCCAGTCGCCCCACACACCAATGGCCGGCTGTACGACGACAGTGAGCTGGGACGGTCGTGTGCGATGGCTGGTGCTCACCGACGGCAGCCGACCCTTCGTCGCCTGGATTGTCATCAGCACATTTGGAAACGACAAGGGTGGGGGTGAATGACAAAGAGGGAGTGCTGCTGGAAACGTCGCGTGTTCTTCTTTTCTTTGTCTGCAGTGCGTGTGTGTATTCTGACGACTGAGGCGGCTGCGTGTGAGGGTGGTGCCTTCAAGCACCGCTTCCCGTTGTCCACTCAGCTGGCTCGCGTGGCGTTGGGGGCGGTGGCGTCATTCGTATTCGATAGCTGAGGCGGGGGGGGCGGCGGGTGACACCAATCCATCAGTCAAGACGTGCTGGTGGGTGAGCAGGAATTCATCCCCCCTGTCACCATGTGGCTGAGTACCGCCCTGCTCTGTGCGTGTGTGTGTTTTGTCAGGAGGGCATCTCAAGCTGGATGCTGGCTGTCGTCATTCATCTCCGTCGCCGATCGGTTTGTTCCTCACAGACATCGCCCACCGCTCACTGTGTCAACCAGCTGCTGCTGCCGTGTGACCTAATGGCTGGCATGGCTTTGATGGGTGTGGGTGTGGTTGGGGTGACCAAAATCTCTGGTGCGGTCCGGTCCTCTGCCGGCCGATTTTGGTGTGATGGTCCAGCCGATGTGTGAGTGTGTTTGGCTGCCTGGCTGACTCACCTGCCTGCCATAACTCTCTCTCGAGGTGACTGTGGTGGAGTGTGTCTGCCTGTGTGTGTGTGTGTGCTGTGGGTGACGGCCGTGAAATGACTCAGTTGACTAAGTGAATTGCTCACACGCAAACGAGTCCATAGAGACGCCCGGCCCCTCCCGCCACACAGACAGAAAGAAACGCTGCCGGCAATTATATAAGGCGTTCCACCACAGCCCCATTCGTCAATGAAAAGAATCCGCTCTCTCTGTTGACATGGCCGTCTGAGCGTACGTGTCTGTGGTCGTCTGCGTGTGCACTGCCCACACCCACACAAAACCCAGCAGCCAGGGGGGCGGAGGCCAACCGGGCCAAGCGGACAGGACTCAGCCGGGTTGTTGAGCTGCGTTGCGTGTGTCGAGGGGTTTGTTTGCTTTGCGTGTCAGTCAGTGAGTTAGTCAATCAGTCGATGGCCGCTGCGGTGATTAAGTCGACGGCTGGTTCAGGCACACACACACGCACCCCAATAAAGTCTGCTTTCGTTTCCGTGTTTCTCCTGTTCGCTGCGAACCGGCCCCCAAGTTGAACGACAACCAGAAATAATGCTACGGTCGTTCCCACCAGTGCATCCATCTCATCGTCCCAAACACACGAAATATAAGATGTAGGCAGCGATGCTCCTTGCCGCCTCTCACCTATACACACACATACACATACACACATACACCAACCACACACACATCATGCCCCACATTAAAGACGTCCTGCTCCCTTCTCTGCCTCTTTCCTCGTCACTGCCTCACTCACCCCTTTCAGCGATATGGCATAGAATCCCTTGGTCCTCTTCTCGATGTCCTCTCCCTTCAGGTCCCTCTTGTATCGATTGATGAAGGAGGTGATATCACTCAGACACATTTGCTGGTAGTCCTCAGTGCGCCGCCTGCCATCGTGCTCAAAGGCGTCGTTGGTAGTTCTTTTGTAGAGGTGGCTGGGGAGGGCGTCGCGGCACTCCAAGAGCATATTTGTCGCGTGCACAGTCCTGCTGGTATGTCGGTACAGTGTAGAGGATACACAAGCTACAAGTCACACGAGCCAACGAGCTCTTGTTTTGCGTCTCTACCGTTGGAGCGCGTACCCTCCTATGAATATTGTCATTGTCCCTGTTTCCGTCTGTAGGTGGCAGAGGATTGGTGGCCACCTGTGGAGACACAATATGGAAACAAGCGGCTGGTGGTCTCCTTCTCCCAATCGATCGGACGAAGTGTACCCACAAGGCCTCTCTGCTTTGTACCTTCAGGCCTTGCTGCTGCTTGTTCCCTGTGGCCTTGTCCATCTCGCTGTCTTCGTTGTGGATGTCCTGCTGCAGCACAGCAGGTGGCCGCAGAGACACACGGGGACCAAACGTTGGCGTGACTGTGGCCCCCTCCATGTGCCTACTGTCTTTCGGCGGTTGTCAAGTTCACGTTTCTTGTCCCTGTCCTGGAGTTCCTGTGGACAACAAACAGTAGAATGGATGGATGGATGGATAGATGGCTGGATGTATTGTGTAGTCCTTGGATGCCCGTACAATGATGAGTGCATGAATGGATCGACCCGCGTCTGGCGGTATCCAGCCCGCCTCGACTGTCGGCCCAGCCCTTCCGTCTCGATGGGGCGCTTCACCACCAGACGCTCAAAGTAGCCCATCACCCAACGCACAGCCCCGACCCTTCTGCTGGTCGGATACACCGCGACGAGCTGCCACAGGACGGTCTTGGTGGCCTCTCGCCGGCTGCGGAATTTCTCCTCGGTGCCCTGGAGGACCTTGTCAATGACGCTGCTGTTGTTGCCGTCCGAGCGCATGTTCACCGTGGGCACGCTGAAGTGGTCGAGCAGTGAGTTGATGAAATCCTCGCACGTCTGGGAGCGCTTGCCGAGGCACGCCAGTGCAATTGAGAACCAGCCGAGCGTTTCTCTCTCGGCGTCTTCTATCCGGTCCACGGCCGACTGGGGCATCCTGAGCATGCCCGACGCCGCCGCTGCCTCCTTGCTGCCGTCGCCCTGCCCCTCCCTGTTGTCCCTCTCCTCTGTGACGAGCCCGACGGCTTCCGGCGAGTCAGCAGCGGTGTGGCGGCCCCTGTCGTCGTAATACTCGCTGTCGGGCACCGGCTGCACCTGGTCGCGATGCTGCCGGTACATGTAGACGAGGTAGAGCAGCTTCGGATCTATGCTGAGCCGCCATTCGGGCACCCTCACGACCGCCCCCCCGACGAGCTTGACGCCAGAGAGGAAGGAGGTGTATGACAGCGAGGCCGAGAACGTGTCGGTCGACATGTCGAATCCCGGGAACTCCAGTGCCAGCTTCAGGAGCATCTGGAACTTGCTGGGGCTCCCCAGGAGGTCCATATAGGTCTGGTCGACGATGCCCGCGTCCCGAGTGGCTTTTTCGAGAGAGCCGTCCTGCTGCATCTCTCTGAGCTTCCTGGTCAGCCGCTGCTCGGGTGGCGAGCTGGAATCTTGCCTTGGTCGATAACTGTGCCCGCGGTTCGCAGCTCGGTGTCGCAGCGCGTCACGCCTAACGCCGGCAGAATCAAAGGGTGCAGATCTTGGCTATCTCCATCCGAGCACCCCTCCGGCCCATCAGCACTCGATGGCGTTTGCGCGTCCTTGCTTCTGCCCACCACGGAGGCCGCGGCGTGGTCGCCAGACGTGTCAGGGGAAGCCTGGAAGGGACAGGCCACAGGGGCGTCGTCTGCATCGTGTGGACATCCGCTGAAGTGCTGGGGGCCAAGTGGCGGATCTTCGAGTGAGATGCCCTCATATGAGCGGCTGGCAGAGGCGACGAGACGGTCACCGTATTCCATCACGCTTGGCGCTGCCGACACGCTCAACACATCGCCGGATTGGGCACACGCACCACTGGACACACTGTGCCCGAGCCGATGGTCGGATGGCAGTGCAGGTACGCCCTCCACTCTATCAGCAGATTTCTCGCATGAGCTCAGGCGGCCGCCTCGGCCCACGTGTGCTGCCTGGGGCGACATGTTGGGTAGGGCCGGCTGGTCTGGGGCGGCTGGCGGCTTTGCACCGGGGCGACGAGCCGCAGCTGCTGGTGTCGGTGGCGAGGGAGGGGGAGGGCGCGGCTTGGAGCAGACAGGCAACACTCTTAGCCCCATCTGCAGAAGGATGCTGCCACACAGCAACCGAAAAACAGACATGACATTCCATTCATTTACGTACGTACGTACACACACACAGGTGTGCCTGCCTGTCTGACTGTCTGATGGCTTCCTTACTTGGGTCCATTGTCATCAGATATGATGACCTTCTTCAACTTGAGGTTCCCCTCCTCTCGTCGCCGAGCAATCTCCTCAATCGACGCCATGGCCCCGCCTCCCTGCACCACCGCCTTCTTGACATCCTCCTGACGCGGTCCCTCCATCCCATGGATCTCCCTCAACGTGCGGAGCATGTTGTGAGCACCCAACACGAATGACAGCTCCCGCTCCTCCTCCTTCTCGATGTCTTTGGTGCTGGCGGCATCGACATCCATGGCGAGCTCCGAACGTGCCTTAAGGAGGAGGAGCCGCTGCCGCTCCCGCTGCACGTCCGTCCCCGGACGCCCTTTGAGGCCATCCTCGACGAGCCGCAGGGCACTATCGCAACCACGTGGTTGCTGCGTCGCAAAGCAAGACGTCTCCGGCCGCGTGTTGATGAGGTCCATTGTCAGGGGACACTCGAGTGTCGGTCCGCCCTTGATGCAGGCCACAGTCGCGACGCCTGGAACAGGGCTACTGGCGACTGACAGATGCGTCGGGGGAATAGAATTTTTACGTTTCTCGCCTGTCTCGACGCGAGCTCTTTCTCGACGGTCGTGGTAAGAGGTGCGACAAGATGGAGCAATCAAGTGCGTTGGTCAAAACGTCTCACGCCACACGCCAACACGGCCAGCAGCTGACGCAGCCACAGGCCAGCCACAGCACCCCGCATCTCTGCCCGTGTAGGATTGTGGCCAGCCTACAAGTGCGTTGTCTGCTGGCCGTGTAGGCGTGTGGCGTCTACAGGTGCGACACACCACAACGTGTATATGTGCCCTGTTGTTCGCCGACAAACGTCAAAACATCTCAACCAAGACCGCTTCACTGGGAAGCACATCGCGTGCACGTCCGTCCGTCCGTCCGTCCGTCCGTCAAGGGCCGAGACCGATTGCCATCCGTGCCCCTCCCCCATCTCACTCACTTCCCACACAGACACGCACACACGGTCCCGCCCCGCAGGCCACACTACACCACACTACAGCACACAGCATTCCTGTCCTTGACTTTCCTCCAGCTTTCCTCCTCTACAGAACTGACCTTATTCACCTTAACACCATCACCATCACCACTACCAAACAACGCAGGCAGGTCCCGTACTTCCTACACACAGCCATCCATCCACCCGGTCCCATCCCATCCCTGTAATCGTCAATATATCGACGACTCTGACTGACCTGACTCCTTCCTTTCTTTCAACACTGAGAGCCTCGATACAGTCGATACAGACAGACTGACACTTACACACCAGACACCACTTCCTCCCTCCAACAAAACCCAGCCGGTGTGCAGTGCATCATGGGTCCGTCCGTCCGTTCAGTCAGTCAGTCAGTCACCTCATCCCTGCCCCTCCTTGTCCATCGCCCTGGCCATCCCAGCCGTGAAAGATGAAGACCTCGCTTGGCTGGCAGCCGGCCGCCGAACCACCTCCGCATCCCTCGACCCCTCTGCCTGGTCGCCGCGCAGCAGACTCTCCGCCGCCCTCCAGCCAGTCTTGAAGCGAGACGCTGGCAATGGGGCACTCACCGACCGAATGACCCGTTTCGCTGCCGGCACACATGGAGGCGGGCTGTCAGCTGTGGTGGCGTTGGACTCATGAGCCCCTCGTGGCGAGGGCCGCGACTCAGTCGGCGCGCCGTTCTCTGCAGATACGTTGTTGCCCTCCTGCAAGGGGCTCTCGGTCTCGGCGGTCTCTGCGAGAGGGGGCATGAGGGGGGCCGTCATGCCGAGAGGGTGGAGGTGGTGAATGGGTGTGGAGGGGTCGAAGGATGGAAATTGGGGTGTCTCTGCTGGAACGGGGACGATCTTGCTGCCGGTGTTGCGGTGCCGCATGTGGCGGAGGGGCTGCACGCGGTGTGTGGCCGCGATCTGCTTCCGCCACCTCAGCACCTTGGCGACAGTCATGCGCTCCACTTGGCCGGCCTCGGACATGCGAATCAACCTGAAAATGGCGAGCGAATGGACAATTGAAGAGTGGTCACTCAGAGGCAGTGAGCGGTCCGGTGTGTCGGCCTTCTCACTTTTTGCAGGCCATGACGCGAAGCTGGGCGAAGATGATCGATGCACAGCTCAGACCTGCCACACCACAAACAAATGAAATGAGGGAGGGCAATGCAATGCCTCCTTCGCTTCGACATCACAGCACCCACCAAGCACCCGTCCGCTCCCTCCCTGTTGGCTTCGCTCACCGATGCAGATCATGAGCAGGACAGGCACGAACGAGAAGGTTTGGTTGTCCAACATCCCATGGTGCACCGTCAAGGCCAGCAGCGCCACCACCACCATCAGCACACCGGCGCATACGCACCGGTAGATGCGCATCTTCCGGAGCAGCAGCTTCGGGGCCGTGGGGGAGAGCAGGCCGTCCGTCTCATACTCGTCCATCTGCTCCTCCCATGCGTTAACTGGAGGGTGGCCGTGCTGCCCATGCGCATGCGCGGCGTGGTCGTTGTCACTGTTGGGTGGGGCCTCGCCATTACCCACGTCGTCCCCTGATCGTGGGGCCTCCGCTGCTGGCTCCGCTTCGTCTTTCGCCGTGAGCAAGAAGGCGATAGGCTTAACGCCTGGATGGACGGATGGATGGACACCCACAATGCGTCCGTCTCATGACAGAACCAAGACTGGCTGTGTCTCGTGTGTGCCGTACCAATGTAGTGGTTGAGGAGGTCCACCACGACGTCCTCGTCACGCGAGAAGCTTATGATGCTAAAGAAAGTGCCGCTAACGGGGTCCTCTGCGGCCTGCCCTGACTGGTGTAGCGCCACGCCCTCAGAGATCAGATCCACCTGCCACCGGTACTTGAGAGGGTAAAAAAGCTTGATCAGCGTCGAAGCCAGCGCAAAGACGGTGGGCAGAATCACCGTCACCACCAACAGATACACCCGCACCTCGGGCGGCTGCTCCTGAAAGATGCCGTCGCGGGGCGGCCGGTGGCCGACGAGGTTGAGCAGAGCCAGGGGGATGGCCGCTGCTGGGATGGCACAGATCTTGGGAAGGAAAGACCTGAACATCATGTAGGACGCCTCTCTCCGTGTCGCAGATAGAAACTCGTCGTAGTCGATGATGTCGGCCAGCACGGCCTCGGCAAGGAACTTGGCGCCTGCACCACACACAGCAAACACACGGACGACTGAATGGGGCGATGGCTGGATGGCTGGATGGCTGGATGGATTGACTGACCGAGTGGCAGTCCGTTGATGAAGGCGAGTGCGATCATGGGGTAGACGTCGCCCCGGTCGAGGAAGCTGAAACACACGTTGGTCACGGCCGACGTAAACGAGTACAGCACCCACGTGTTGTACTTGCCTGCACACAACACAGTAGCACAGACCCATGACGGACAGACAGACAGCTGGAATGACTGCACTTAGTGATGGCGACTGAGTCGCACCGACCGACCGATATATTTCGACAAGAGGAGCCAGAGTGGTGTGGCGGAGAAAGCGGCCACCAGGACGGCGGTGACTCCAGCGGCCAGCACGTGGTCCGACCGACATCTCCATGAGTTAGAGGCCGTGCCCTCGATGGGCACACCCCTGTTGCAGTCGATGCCGCCATCCTCCTCGGTCTGGTACTCGGGCTGAATCACATAACGCACCTGCATCGCCACACCGCACCGCATCCACACACAGACCAACCAACCAACGAACGATGCATGTCATGTGCATCTTCCTTCCATGGTGTGTGTATGGTGCACTGCACGTGGTCAAGCTTACGTAGTAGCTCATCATGGAGGTCAGGATCCCCGCCACAACGGCATCACAGGCCCACGCCGGCAGCTGGGTCAAGAACGGCTTGTTAGTGAGGGTGGAGAGCAGCGTCGGCAGCAGAGAACGGCTGAAAGGCCGCTCTATCCGCTCATCGCCGCCATCACCAAGGTGCTCCCCTGCTTCTGCTTCACCAGCCCTCCCGGTCTCGTCGCCGTTTTGCCCTTTGCATTGGGTTTTCCGCCGATATCGGTAAATCGTGGCCATCCTCGCCCGCAGGAAAGGCAGAGCGCTCTTGCGCATCGACCAGCGCTGTGTGGGGAGGCTGGGCGGCGGGGGCTGCTTGTTTTCGACGCGCTGGAACCTCTTCCAGAGAGGGGAGTCAGTTGACATGCCGCTGATGCCTGTCGACAAGGGGGCAATGCTGCTGGTGGCTTCCTGTGCGGACGGAGGGAGAGGTGCGGGTGTTGCTGCTGGCGGGGGATCGTTGGCAAGGGCCGTTGGCTGTGGTGGTTGTGGTACTGTCGTGTCGTTGTGTTGGTTCTGCTGTTGCTTGGCGAGCTGTCGTTGTCTCTGCACCTGGGCCCGTTCCTTGATCTGTATGCATGCGTTGATGATGGTGGCCACATACCAGGCCCCAAAGAAGACGCCCACAAAGGTGAAGGCCGTCCGCTGGTGCTGCAGCGTGCACCACACACCACACCTGACACACACACACACACACACACACACACACATCCACACAGAAGAGAGGTGTGAGGCGCGGCACACAGCACAGCCCACAGGCATTGATGCGACTGTGAGAAAGCCTACCTTTCCAGGCAGGTGCAGTAGCAGTCCAGGCCGTCCACACAGTCGAGGGAATCCCCGTCAGGCGCATCAGGCCTGGTCAGGAGAGGCAGGCAGAGAGGGGGACAAGGAAGGGATCAGAGGGTGCATGAGCGAACTGGTGCCACACCTGATTGATTGATGCGTTTGTGCGTACCGTGTGCTGCACTGCCCGGTGAAGTTGGATTCAAACAGCCGCAACGGATCCGTTAGGTTGTAGCTGCACATCACACACACACACACACACACACACATCTAGCGGCTGTGGTTCGGCGCGGCAATGCCAGGCAGGCCAGCCTCTACCATCGCGCATCGCACCTGTCCGGTTCGCCTGTGGATGGGTTGATCCTGCAGGACCTGCCCCACCTCTCGCCCAGCTCGTTGATATCGTTGGAGAAGCATTTGAGGTGGGGGTCCTCACACTCAGTCCACCAACCTATTACCGTTGCAAGCAACACTGCACACACACACGCACACACACACACCAACAAAAACAACACACACGCAGAGAGAATGGGCGCGGCGCGGCGCCCGTGGTGTGTGGTGTATGGCTGCTGACGGACTGACTGACTGACCAGGGCAGAGCACCGCCACCAGCGAGCCGAACCCGTCAAACAGCCCCGACACAAAGAACAGCCGCGAGCGGTCCTCATAGTTGTCCGTCAGCTCGGGGCCCAGGGCGTCATAGGGAATGTTTGAGAAGGTGTTGGCGAGGTAGAAGAAAAAGTAGAAAAACCCAAACCACAGCGACAGACTCCGTTCGCTCACCAACACAGGGTTGGGCGGGCTGAGCAGCAGCGTCAGCAGCACCGCATAAGGGAAACACCCGATGATCATAAAGGGCTTTCTTCTCCCGAAGGGGCTGCTGAAGGTGTCTGTGAGGTAGCTCATGCCGGGGTCGCTGAGGACGTCGAAGCACCGGGCGAGAGCGATGAAGAACGACATGTAGGCCAGGGAGGCGCCGAGCATCTCGTAGAACTGGTTGGCGTAGGCCGCCAGCAGCAGGGTGATGGGGAGGGTGGAGAACGTGGGAGCCGCGAAGGAGACCTTGATGCGCAGCGGGAGGATGCCCTCGTCCAACACGGGGGTCTCCGGCCTGATTGATCAGATGATTCATCAAGTACAGCAACCAACCAGCCACACACCAGCGACACACCAACCAGACACCGACAGACAGCAAGCATGAGATCTCATCCTGGTTGCTGTCAGTCCTTATTGGCTCACAGGTGTGTGTATGAGTGCCGCCTTCTCTCAGCGATATGGTCAGACACAAGAGATTTCTCGCGCGTGAGCGACCGCCGTGTGGCTGACCTCACCGTCACCGCGTGGCCATCCTGTCTGGCCTGCGGCTGGCTGTGAGGGCTGTGGGAGCCGTCAACGTGGCCATCCATGGGAGCCACCGATGATTTGGGCGAGGAATCGGTGTGGGAGGGCAGCGAAGTCATGGGGGTGACGGGTGGGGGGAGGGGTGAACGAGATGATCAAGGCAAGGAACCAGAAACCATTTCTCGCGGAAGAAGGGAACGACAGTCGATAGGGTTTCTCGAATCTGGGTTCGGGTATCAGGGTTTGTGCGGCTCCCACGAGCTTGGTTAACAGGTCAGCGCAGGAGGGATAGAGTCATTGATTGCCATGAAGACATGCAAGTCCATCAATCAGGCCATCCATACAATCAATCAGTTGGATCATTCCATTAGCTACCTGCCTCGTCCCACAGAGATAAAGAGAGAATGTGATCTGTGCCTCACTGCACTGCCCGCACACACACACACATCCCTCTCTGCGCTTTCTTCCACGTGTGTGTTGCACCGAAGAGGGATGGATGGCAGAGGTCTGCAAAAGGTGGATGGGTGGGCAGAGAGAGAGGACCCGTGAAAGGAGAGAGAGTGAGAGAGTCACGGGTTGGAACAGCAGCCGCCTGGCCTGCCTCTGTCTGTCTATCGTATGCCTATCGGCCATCCACCCCCCATCCACCCACCGCTCCAGCCAGACAAATAGGACAAGACGCAGATCCAGACACACGCATGCGCGAGAACCACACACACAGAGGCAGGCCGGGCCGCACACAGAACAAACATCCCACCCGCCCACCGTCCTCCCTCCCTCCCTCCCCCCGCACCGCAACCCCCACCCACCCCACACATTATGTGTCAGTCACTGTGTCAGGTCATGACCACATCGTTCTGGGCATTCTGGGCAGCAAACGCACTCGAGGGTGTGGGGCCGGGGGCGGTCGCAGCAGCAGCAGCAGATGGCTGAGCCACCATGCTCACGCCCATGCCCATGCCGTCGTCCATTCCCATCCCCACAGTCCCCTCGCTCACAGATGCCGCCATCGCCATCGGGGGAGGGGGGGCAGCAGACGGGCCATCCTCCTCCAGCAGCGCCTCATCCCTATCGTCCCCTCCCTCACCCTGCCCACCGACCCGCAGCTGAGCCTGCTCCTGCGCGACGGTCTCGGCGTGGTACTTGAGGAACTCGGCATACTGGCGCTTGAGGCTTGTGTGGTGTGTGGGGCAGTGGCCGGCCTGCTGGGCGGCCTGCTGGGAGCGCTGGGCGGCCCCCGCGCCGCGGTAGAGCATCTCGTACTCGCGCAGCTGGTTCTTGAAGCCCTCGTTGATCGTGATGCAGTGGCGGCGCGTCAGCACGTAGTGATGGGCCATGTCTGCAGACACACACACACACACACAGACATACAGACGTGCAGACGTGCATACGTGTGGGTGGGCATGTGTGTGTGTGTGGCGCGCACCACCGTGCTTACCGAATGTGAGCTGGAACTCTTCCATGACGTAGGCAACGATCAGCGCAGCGCTACGCGACATGCCGGCCGTGCCGTGCACCAGAATCTTGCCTGCACAGCCACACACCACAGGAGCACCCCACTGCATTCAGCGAACCAACCAACCAGCCCCAATCTCCCTCCCTCCCTGCCTCCCATCCACCAACCCCCCTCCCATCCATTATATCACCGACTGACCTCTCTGCGCCAGCACGGATTTGATGAGGTCCCTGGCTGGTCCGAAGTGTTTGATGATGTTCTGGAAGGAGTTGTCATGCACCTCCAGCACCTGGTACCGGAACCGCTCGGGGAACTTCTCCTTGATGATGCGCGCCTCCGTCGGCGCACGCACTATGAGGATGTGCGTCACGCCCAGCTGCTGCAGCCGCTCGGCGTCCTTGGCGGCGCCGAACGGGCCCAGGAAGACCCCCGGCACGATCTCCTGCGCCTCACGCTTCTTGGTGTAGATCCAGTCGCAGTCGGGAGGCAGCAGGCCGCGGCGAATCGCCTCATCCAGCTGGTCCCACCGCAACGGCGCACCCATCAGCTCAAGGCAGGGGAGTGAGTTGAGAGTAGGCGCGGCGCAACAGAGGCTGGCAGGCGTAGAGCACGTCAGCACCGAGGATGAGCTGTCGACGGGACGTCAGAGGTGTGGCGATGAAACCAACGGTTGAATGGCTATGGACGGCGAGGCTCCCTGCGATTACAGAAAGGCGCTTTTGGTCCTCTTTTCCGGCTGCGAGCCGAAGTTGCGAGCTTGAAGCCATTCGACTCAAACTTCACGCCCAGTGGCACGTCGCATCAGTCCTCAGATCTTTGCTGTCGAAGCAGCAGGCTGAGCCGCAATGAGAGGATCTTTGCCATCGCCTCTCAGAGAGACGGACGTCATCGACGTCGGCGTCAGCTCGTCACGCCATGCAGCACAGGCCAGGAGGACACGGCAAGCCGCCGGCAGTGCACTGGTCAGATCACTGGACAGATCTGTCATCGCGGCTCTCGTCTTCTGCAGCCACTGCATCTCGGCCTTCCAGCCAATTCTCTCCCCTCAGCAATCGACAAGGCACTCCCTCAGCACCAGACACGCCGTCGCCGAGCGCACGCCGACCGTCATGCCCTCGCCAACCCTGGCCCGCACGACAATGCAGCCACGGCGGCAGCAGAGCTCTTTGACGTTTGTGGACAGTGACCTGGACAGGCTGATAGACATTCTGCCCGACATGGTGCGGGGGCCGCTGCGGGCGGCGCCCGACGGGTATGAGGGGCTGGTGGAGGTGGTCATGGACCTGGGGAGGCGGCCTGAGGCGCGGTACCACGACCATGCGATGTTCTTGAGTCAACGGGCGGTGAGCTGGCAGGATCTGGACTACGCTGTCAAGAGGCTGGGGCAGTTCAGTGGGGACAACCGAGCTGGACTCGAGAGGGCACTACACAGGTCCGTTTGTCAGTCAATGCCCCCAAGACATCATGATGTGTGTGTATGTCTTGGCTCATCTGTCTGTCTGTCTGTGTGGTTTGGTATCAATCAGGATAAGTGCCATCCGGAATCGTCAGGGTGCGATAGTTGGGCTGACGTGCCGAGTGGGTCGAGCCGTGTGGGGCACCGTCAGCAACATCCGCGACCTGCTCGAGTCGGGCCAGTCGCTGCTGCTGCTCGGCAAGCCCGGCGTTGGCAAGACCACTGCCATCCGGGAAATCGCAAGGTACGGTGGGGGAGAAATGAATGGGTGCTGCTGGTCTGGTCTGCCTGCACTTGATGGTTGGTTGGGTGAGTGTGTGCCTCATGTCGGTGTGTATGTGTGTCCTTCCTTCAGGGTGCTGTCCGACGAGATAGGGAAGCGTGTGGTGATCATCGACACGTCAAATGAGATAGCCGGCGACGGCGACGTCCCGCACCCTGGCATCGGACGGGCCAGACGCATGCAGGTACACACACACACAGACGGCACAGCCACACGCATCCCATCACTCTCTCTCCGACCCCTATATCCATCCATTCATCCATCTGTGTGTGTGTGTGTGACAGGTGCGCAAGGTCGAGTGTCAGCACCAGGTCATGATTGAGGCCGTTGAGAACCACATGCCCGAAGTCGTCATCATTGACGAGATCGGCACCGAGCTCGAGGCATCTGCCGCCCAGACCATCGCACAGCGGGGCGTTCAGCTGGTGGGGACGGCCCACGGCAACAACCTCGAGGGGCTCATCAAGAACCCCACGCTCGTCGACCTCCTCGGCGGCATCGAGGCCGTCACACTCGTGAGGCCAGCTGGGAGAGAGGGAGAGAGATGGGCAGACTCGCGAGGAGGCGTATGGCGTTGCGTGTGTGTGTTTGTGTGTGTGTAGGGTGATGAGGAGGCCAAGAGGCGTCAGACGCAGAAGAGCATTCTTGAGAGGAGAGGACCGCCCGCATTCCAGGTGCGTGAGGACAGACAGACAGACAGACTCGGCCCGAACAATGAAGTGAACGCCTCCACTGGTGGTCATCAATCCGTTCATTCAGATCTGCATAGAGATCAACAACCGCAACTCCTGGGTGGTCCACGAGGCCGTCGACCAGGCCGTCGATCTCCTGCTCCAGGGGATGCAGCCGACCGTCCAGGTCAACACGGAACCACAGCACCACAGCTGTATACATAATGCACCTTCCTCTGTCTTGTCTGGCTCCACGCTTGTGTGCTTCATTCAGGTCCGGGCGACCACCAAAAACGGCGAGACCCTCATCACATACAGGCTGTCAGGGGAGGGGACCGCTGGCGGTTTCCAGACAAAGTGGGCTGAGAACCGCGAGAAGCAGTACTCCTCGCTCAAGGCGGCCGTCCGCCCCCCGCCCCAGGCCTCCCCACTCGCCACCGCCAGCACCAGCGCGGCGCCCAAGTACCGGCCCCCCGTGCAGCAGGTGCCTCTCTACGACGATGGCGATGAAGATGACTACATGGACGATGAGCATGGCTACGGCAGCGGACGGAGGTACATGGCGCAGAGCAACGTCCAGTACGGAAGGTGACTGAGTGCTGTAAACCGGAGGGGGACAAGCGGGGGAAGAAAGAAGTATCTTCTATGTGTGTGTCGGTCGGTCTTGTGTATGTGTGTAGGTCGAGGATTGCTCGTTCGGTGTCGGCGAGTTGGGACGATGGCGCACGGTCTGCGAAAGTGAAGCTTTCCGAGACGCGGGAGCGGGACCTCGGCAATGGCGCGGTGCCGTCCGGCGACAACGTCCTGCAGGTCTACTCGCTCGGCCTCTCTGAGTCGCGCCTCGACCGTGCCTTGAGGTCCCTGGGAGCTGCTGCGGTAAGCGATGGGGAGAGGGAAACATGGAATGACATGGCTGCTGGATTCGTTCGTGTATTGCCTTCTGAGCTCAGGAGGTGCAAGATCTGAAGGATGCGCACATTGTGCTGGCTCGCAAGTCGGCTCTTCCGCGGTTCCCCTCGCTGAGAGAAGTCGCCAAAGACAAACGAGTGAGCCAGCCATGTGGTGGCCGGTGTACGGTAGATCAGATCCGCATGTGTGTGTTGTGCGCTGCATATTTATGTGGTGTGTGTGTGTCTGTCAGATTCCCATCTTCACTGTGCAGAGCGACACGGTGCCCCAGCTGACGCGGACACTCAAGCGTGCATTGCAGGTGGGATGGGAAGCACTCATGAGACACACCACACCAGACAGTGCATAGCATATTCTGCCTTCCTTGTGCTTGTCTTCTGGCTGGCTGCAGGAGCGGTCCCACTGATGTATGCGACGCATACCAACTACGAGTGTGATGTGTAAACGGTTTGTGTTGGGGCCATATTTGTTTGTATCATCTCCTCGTGTCGTCTCTCATGGGGAATTCGACATATCGTGTGCATCACCATCTGTCGGCGTCTCGCTCTTTCCTTTGGTTCTCCTGCATCCGCGCGACGTCGAGAGCGCCTGCCAAGGACGGCAGCTGCTCTCAGCGTTGCGGAGGGGCGGACACAGCCAGGGGAGGACAGATGCCCAGACAGAGACTGCGATGGGTGAACGGTAATCACAGGTGTGTTAGTCAGTGTCTTGACCCCTTTTGGCCTTGGCTCGGTGGCTGTCGGGGCAGTGCAGTGACTATGTATGCTTCAAGCGCAGATTTTCCCCTCTCTGCAATACATACACGTCTTGTCTTGCCTTGCCTTGCCTTGGCTGCCCGTGGTGCTGCTTGATGCGATGCCACCCATGGCTGCCTCCATGCGTATGGTGTGTTGCGTAACCACCAATGGGCCATTTTTCCGTCGGATGGGATGCCAGCAGACAGACAGACAGACAGACAGCCAGACAGTTTTGTTGTGCCTATGCATTGCAACACGATTTTGCCCACATTGATCGATGGAGAGAGGGGAGAGAAGGAGAGGCCACAACTCAGTCTTACCGAGTGTATACGGCCGGCCGACCGGCCAGCAGTATGTGTGTGTGTGTGTGTGTGTCCACATCCATCCACAGCCACACACACGCGTCCATCCATCCATCTCTTTGTTTGTATGTATCTAGGTGGGTATTTCTGTGTATGAGTGAGTGTATGAGTGTCCCATGCCATGCACACCTGTGTGCATGTCATGTGTCTGTCTGTGTAGTTGGGTGTGTACTATATGTAGCAAAGTTGGGAGGGTGTGCTGTACAGCCAGCAGCTGCTGTGAGTGAGTGATGTGACTGACAACCGGGGGTGTCATAGAGCATGGACCCAAGACGGCAAGAATTTATCCGTGAGCGTTGGTTGCAACAGACGAACATCGTCCCACCCACCCAGCACATGTGAAGTGAAGTCAACCCACCCACTATAAGCATGTGCACATCCCCATGTACCCTACGTACCCCATGTACAATCCTGTCGCCGCCGCAGCAACCCAGCCTGGCCGGCATCATCCCCCC